TTATGCTAATGCCCCAAATGTTTGACTCACTTTTTAAATACCAATTTCCCCTGTTGCGCAAGGTTGAAGAGGAAAAGGAGATTTTCATGTGGTACTGGAGAGAGTTCTTGCCTAAGGTCTTTGGAGCCATTGAGTGGGGCAAGAATGTTATGTTCTACAAGACCATCAGCGAAGCCAAAACCAGCACCAACAAGCCCATTTTCACCCCTCACCATGAGGCCAAGGCTGTTGTTGTTTGGGACAACAATGAAGCCAAGTGGACCGAGCTGCACAAATGGGTCAAGGAGCACCCAGGTGAGGCCCAACCCATCAAAGGAGGGAAGTACACCATTGTTGATGCTGGCCAAAGCGAGCATACTGCTTGGGAAGCTGATGGTTTGGAAGCCTACAACTGCTACAAGAAAAAGGTGAAAGAGGCCCATTCCAGTGCCCACACGGGCAGCATTATCAGTCTGGAGCAGAAGACTCTGGAGCTTTTGCGCATTGCAAATGGGCACACCTGTGGCTCCCACAAGCAACAGCAGAAACTCAACAAGGCCAACAAGCGCAGAGCCAAGAACGCCTTGGAGCTGCTCCAGGCTAAAAAGGCCAAGACAATTACCACCTTGGACGATGAAGATGATGATGCATACATGTGGGAGCATCTTTGTTTGGCCCATTTGGGCATTTCTCGGCCTCTGATGGATCTTCTAGCCTGGTTTCCGAAAAAGGTTTGGGCAAGTCGGCAAATCTGTTCATCCAATTGGACATTTCTTCTGCAGTGTTTGTGTCACGTTCCTGTGACTTTCTGCGAACTGTTTCTGCAACAACCAAGACATTTCTGCTCAGCCCTGCTTTCTATTGCCCTCTCCCACTAAATGGTACTGTTATCTGAGCTAATAACTAAGTTAACGATTATCTAGTTGTAAACTGCTTTGTCATTGTTGTCATAGTCATGTTCACTTGGGCAAAGTAATGACGAATAATGTAGGTATGGTTGTGTCGGCTTGTGCACGGGATCTTTGACGTCTTGCATGCGATCTCAGCGCCATTGGGTAAATTCTGTGATGCCCCTTTGCGGCTTGTGCTCACTATTTGTATGCACTTGCGCAAAATGTCCAGGGACTCCGACAAAGCTACGTGCCATCCTATCACTTACCCAAGCTCACTTTTTGGAGGCATTTGCGCCAAATATCCACGCACTGTCATAAAGGTGCGTACCGCCAGATCTCTGTATGGAGCACACTTTTTCGACGCACTTCCACAAAAATATGATGGACTCGCAGGGACATTATGTTTGTTCATTTGGGCAAAATGATCTGTGAACGAGTACATGATTTGGCGTATGTGGGTAAAATAATGCCCTTGGACATGATAAGGGACCCACATAAATGAGTCGCTAAAATTTGATCCAGCGTTTTGTGCACCTTCCCCATAATCTCCACTTTGCCCAAAATGCGCTTCTTAGATGTGAACATGAGTTGGATCAGGTGTGGAAGTGACATTGGATGTCATCATCAGGATCAGTGGTTGTGTCAGTGTTTGGAGAACTGCTACAATCTTCATCACTGTTTGTCAATTCTTCCCATGTGTCAGGTACATCCAAGATTGGGAGGGCCTCAGGGGTGACAGAAATGAGTGGCTGATTGGGACGTAGTGTAGGTGGGCAGTGTAGGATTTCTGCCATGGTGAGTGCAAGCTGGGCTGCGTGTGCTTGTCGTGCTTTGTGCCTGCGGTATACCTGGGCAATGATGTGCTGGGCGCTGTTGGAGTGCAGGGGACTGGTGCTTGGCACTAAGTGAACTGGTGGATCATCGTGGGATTCAGTGTTGGCTACTGGAGCTGGAGGTTGACTGGTGGAGTCATCATCTTGTAGGATCAGTGCTTCCCATGGATCAGGTTCCCACAAAGAGGCAAAGACATCAGCCAGGGGGTCATTGTATGGCTTGTTGGAGCACAATGTAGGTGGACAGGTCAGTAACTCTTCCATAGTTTTGGCGAATTGGGCTATTGGGCGTAGATTGGGTGGACTAGTGAGTAGCTCGGCTCGCATAGCCGCAGCCATGTGTAGATCAGTAGTTTCAATTCTTAGCTATAGGTCGCCATAGGGATTTCATTCCTTGAAAATTTTCATATTCTGTTCTTCCTGTGTATGGATCGAAGATCTCTCTCCAACCAGGCACGATGTCATTGGAGGCTCGGCTGTAGTATATAAATCCTGTATGCGGATTGAGGAATTCATACCATGGTGGAAACTGAGGGCGTTGCTGGTTTTGCTGGTGTTCCTGTGGCTGTTGCTGTTGCTGTTGCTGTTGCTGGAGTCGTAGTAGACACTGCTGGAATTGTTGCTCTCGCTGTTGGCTGTCGTTGCTGTTCTTCCAATTTCTGTTGTTGTTCTGGTTGCTGTGTTCGCTGCTGTGCTCGGAGGCATGCCTGATCAACTATAGCATTCATCTTTTGCGAGTAGGTGTCACATTGTGCCTTAATTTCAGCGATTAAGACTTGTTTCCTATCAGGTTGCCGTTTCTGGCGTGCCGTGCGTGCTTTAGACTTCCTGGAATCCCTGGCAAGAGTTGATTGGGCTCTGTGCTGCTCCCATTGGCGATGCTCTTTGGCTAGTGCTTCCAGGTGACGGCGTCTCTCTAGGCAGGCATTGAGGTTGCTAGTAGTATTGGGTTGAGAGGGGACAGACTGTTGCGTTGCTTGTTGCTGTTGCTTGGGTTGTGGCTTTGGCTGTTGCGTTGGCAGTTGCTTTGGCTGTTGCTGTTGCTTTGGCTGTTGCTTTGGCTGTTGCTTTGGCTGTGGCTGTGTTGACTTCTTCTGCCTTTGCTGCTGTTTCTTCGTGGTGTTGCTGGCAGGGGTAGGAGTGGTTGGAGACGGTTGTGGTTGTGGAGGGCTTGGCTGGTTGCCATTGCAAGACTGGTTGCTGCTAGTAGGAGGCGCTGGAGGAGGTCCATTGACTTGCATGGTTGTTGCTTCTTCAAGAGGAGATTCCTTGATAGTGGGGAGATTGGATCTATTGGAGGATCTGGAGTTAAGGGTGTGGGTGTGGATGGAGTAATCAATGAAGGGGTCAATGCTGTGTGATGGCTTGTCGCGGTATCTATCAGAGTGATCCACACGAAGAGTCCTGTAGAGTATGCTGTCAGAGGCTTCGAATGAGGTACTCGTAGCGACACTGTTGGTGCTTGTTGTCGGTGCGTCTACTGCTCCTGGAGAGGAACTGGATATCAAATAAGACTGGGCTAATAGGAAGGTCGGCAATGGCTGTCTGACGTCAGCCTGGGAACCCGGATTTTGCCAATATCTTTTTTGTCGCGAATAAATATATAAAATCTTAGCTATACGTACATGAAGGTAGCATACCCAACCGGCCGATGCAAGCTAACGTTTTAGCCTATTTAATCATATGACAGGCTCGACGCGACCAATGAGGCTAGCGTTCCTGCCAATCGACTCAACCAAATCGAGTCCAAAGAGCCCGGGACTGCTAGTCACGTTTCTTTTTCGCCTTTCTTTTGTCACAAAATAGTGCTTCCACGCTAGACAAAAGAGTCGACAATGAGCCAAGTTACCGTCACCAACGGGCCTGCTACGCCCCCTGTTCAGCCCACTAGACTGTTCAGGAGTCCTGTTGCAAGCCTTAGTTCGAAGGGGGCGAACGAGCTGGAGAATTCTGAGGAAAACAGCTTGAAAGAATTGACAGAGTATGTTTTTGCAACTATGGAGAAAGAGTTTTGCTTCGATGTTGTCAACAAGCCTGGTCGGAAGACAGTCTGCACTTGCCTCCACGATCTAGGAGAGCAGATCAATGATGATGAGGTTGATGACTGCGCAAAGGCTCTGTTTCTGTTCTGCAAGTTGGAATTCGCAGAAAGGAAGCGAATTGTCAAAGAATGGATTCGGTCGGGCCTTGCTGCTCAACTCATGTTCCAAGGACAACAAAGGGAAACTTCAACCAGAGTCTTCCTATTTCCTGGATCCACCACTCGCTTAATCTGCAGGAATGCCCTGTGCCAGCTCATTGGATATGGAAAGAAGAGTTGGAAATCCATCGTGGAGCTTGTCAAATCAGGAAACGATCCAGTTCATGGACTGAAGGGGAAGACAGGGAACAAGCTGAATGCCAAGTCGCAAGGCCTAATGCATGAGTTCTTTAAAGACATGCAACAATACGCCCTCCCTCGAGCCACCAAAATAGTAAGGACACAGATGGTGGATGGAGTCAACACTTTGGTGGAACTTCGAGAAGAAGAAAAGGACACAATTGAATTGCCCTCTTCCATGACGAAGCGTGGACTGTACAATAGATTCATAGGTGGACTGGGATGGAAGATTCAGTGGGACAACAAAGGCCGACTCTTGAAAAAGACTGAGATGGGCGAAGAACAGAAAGTGCGTCCCACTGAGTTGCCAGCTTGGAGTAACTTCCGTTGCTTCTGGAAAAGGGAATACCCCAAGTTGGTTATCCAGCGACCAAGCGAAGATATCTGTGGGGACTGCTACCAATTCGCCAACAGACACAAGTACTCCACAGCATCCTGCAAGGCAGGAGAAGACTCTGATGATGAGGATGCCTTTGAGACGGCTCTGACTATGGTTGATCCCTACGCTCACATCCATGACCGCTTTGATGCAATCAAAGCAATGGAAGATACAGTTATGCAAGCATCCATGCATGTGGAGATGGCACGAGAGCAGCGAGCTCTCTTCAACTTGAAGAAAGAGGAAGCCCTTCGCGACACTGACAAGGAATGGGACAAGAGAGTGTATACGTTCGTCTGTGACTATGCACAGAACATTGCCGTCCCTCACTTTGGACAGGAGCAACCAGGTGAGACGTATTATCTGTCGCCATTATGGGCTTTTGTATTCGGCGTTGTGGACTGCAGTCTCCAGGAACTGTATGCTTTTACTTATTTGGAAGGGGAAGCATTCAAAGGAGGGAACAATGTTGCGAGTCTTCTGACTCAACTCCTGATTATGGAAGGCCTTGTGACAAACGATGGTCTTGTAAGAGATCCACAACACCACAAGCCTGTGCCAGAGATCAACTTCTTCTTCGACAACTGTCCAGGGCAGAACAAGAATCGAATGGTCATCAGGCTTCTATTCATCTTGGTTAACAGAGGCATCTGTGTAAAGGCCCGAGCTACCTTTCTCATCAAAGGCCACACCAAGAATGACTGCGATCGTATGTTCAACTTGATGAAAGGACAGTATCGAAAGGTAAGACGTCATTGTTTGCATGAAAACCTGAAACTGAATACGTCTCAGCTACTCTGTTCCTGTACCAGTCCAACGTCTTCACACCAGATGAGTTGATCGAATCAATGAGAAGGCCCAAGGTCACTCCAATCCGTTGCAACAAAGACCGCGACTTCTTTGACTGGGATACGTATCTCAATCAGTACTGGGCTCCCGTGAAACTGGTATCTGAGAACCATTGCTTTGAAGTTGATGGTACACGGAGCATGCATCACATGTTTGTCAAGGTTTTCGATAGTGCCAGAGAAGAGCCTCAGCTGCTCACAAGGTTGAAGCATCGACCACCGAACTGGAGGAAGGCTGTCAAGGACAATGACTGGAGTGTGTTCCTCAAACCAATTGAATTGGAAGGAGTTCCAGCGCACTTGGTGCCGCCAGGAATTCCTGATATCAAGTGGGTGGAGCTGTACGATAAGTGGAGGCCTTTGGTTCCTCCAGACAAGAGAACTATCAAGTGGTTTAGAATGGATCCAGGCCTGGAGCGTCGTGGCAATGTTACTTCCAATACGAATAAGGCAAAAGAAACCAGAGCCGAACGGACAAAGACCAAGGTAACTGTCGCGGAAGCAGCCAAAAAAGCTGGTAAAACCAAGAAGGCTACCAAAAAGGCAACAGCAGCAGCAACTCCTACATCTATCTAGATAATACATGTTGTCACTACAGTGGCTATCTAATGTAAGTTAATGATGAAAGGCAACAATGACATGCTACTGTTACCATTTTACGCGATCTAACTTCTTTTGCCTTTATCGCGACTTGGTTATCCCGCAGAAAACCGACGACGGACAGAAAAGTGACGCCCCTTTCTATTAGCCCAGTCTTAAATTCAACGGAGGATAGTTATCGTTCGACGGAGACGTATCGGCCAAGCGATTCAGAGAGGAGGTATCGTGCGCGTTCGAGAGTGGCTGCATGGATAGGACTTGTGCTGAGGCTTTGAAGGTATCAATAGTAGCGGCACTGTGGCTGTTGCTGTTGGTTGTTGTTGTTGTGATTCCTGCTTGAGATGAGTTAGATATCAAGGAGGTATCGTGCAATACACGGCTCTTAGCCTTATTCGCGACTCGATCCTAGATAGGGTTTGAGTTCGACTCATGACTGAGTCTCTCGTGAATAGTTATTGAGACAGGGTTCTCAATGACCGCTCTAGTCATACTAGGTTGATGATGAAACATCGCTCTAGATATTTAGCCAGCGTGGAGTACTTCCACGCTACTAGATCCATGCTAGACGAATCTTCCACGCGTTCCGTTTTAGGATCGTGGAGATACGTAAGATCACTACCGCAACCTACTCTATCACACTTTATAGTCTCCCGCGGGAGACCAGATCTACGATCCTTTGATGGTGATCTCTCTCGTTGATTAGTTTTCATAGCTTTCTAATCTCTCTCATAACTTTCATTCTCTCAAACACAAAACACTCGAAAGATCTTTACACTAGCTTTTAGCGTAGTGCATTTTGTTAACAAATACAATAGCTTTCAGCTACCCTCAACCTATTCCTTCACCATGAAGATTGCTCAAGGAAAGCATGCGTTCACCAACTTCGAGAAACAGTTGTGTGACAAACCCATTCTTTCTCTCGTCGACAATGACGAAGACGCCGAGATCGACGATTCTCGTGCAACCACCTACAAACTTCGCACGGTTCCTGCAGATGCAAACAGTGCCAAATACACCTTCAAGGTAGCCATCATCAATGGTTCCAACACTCCACGTCAGACCATCAAGTGGGCTACGAATATGGAGAAGGTCTTCGTTGGACTCAACCTTGCTAGTCCCGACGACAAACATCGCCTTCTCAAGGAGATGACTTCCAGCTCTGCGAAGAGTGCCTACGAAGCCGGGTGTGCAGGCCATCGTGCCGTGCGTCATAACGCCCTACGACAAATTGCTGTGAACGCAATTCCTCCACGCGACATCACCTTTGGAATCAACGCGGTTATCGAAGCAGCCTGTCCTTACAAGGCTCTCGAAAAACAGAAACGCTTCATGCGTCGCAAGATGCGTAAGCCTAGCGAGATGACAACTCGCGCCTACATCAACAACCTCACTTGGATGAATACCGATGAGCTTCCACGTTTGCCACCTTTCGGTGTCAATCAACAGTTGAACCAGGACGAATTCATCGACATTATCTGTCATGGCATTCCTCGTTCCTGGATGCGCAAGATGGAAGAACACGACTTCGATCCTTTCACTGCCGAGATGACAGCTCTCATTGGATTCTGTGAGCGCATGGAATCCGCTGAAGACTTTGACAAAGGCAGTAATGCCAAGCAAGCTCCTTCGAAGAAGAACAACAGCAAGAAGTACAAGTCTACTCGCAACAACGACCATTCTTCCAAGAGCGAAGAAAAGTGGTGTGATTACCACGAGTCCAGCACTCACAATACTGCTGATTGCATGACTCTGAAGAAACTCAAAGCCAAGTCCTCGTCTGACAACGATAGCAAGCCAGCGTACAACAAGAACAAGACTTGGAAACGCAAGTCTGACGATGCCAAGTCCTACACCAAGAAGGAACTTTCTGTCCTTATGAAGAAAGTCTCCAACGCTGCGGTCAAGGCGGATCACAAGAAGAAAAGGGAATGCAACCATGTTGCCAAACGCAAGTCAGATGACTCTGACAACGAGGATGACTCCTCTGTCGGGTCCCTCAACATGATGGACAAGAAAATGGCCACAGTCGACAAGGCTCTTGCCGACTTCGACTTCAATCATTCAGATGGAGAGATCTCCGTCTGAGGATTAGGCCTGGATGATGATTCAACGGAACCATGTTCCGATTTCTCATACCTAAGTGATGAAGATATCTCACTAACTAGTAAACAAGAATTGTTTGCAACTGATGAAGTCTACGGCAAATTAGATAATTGCCTAGAAACTGCTCAACTAGATTCTGACGATCTATGCAGCATTGTTAACCTCGTCCGTGGCCAACCACCTCGTCAACGTCGCACGACAAGAGACCTCAAACGTATCGTCTATGTTAGATTTAACAAGCGAGAAAAAGGGAAACAAAAACCCGTTACACTCCGTTGCTTACTGGATACAGGAGCATCCGGAACCTTGATTACCCAAATTCATGCTAAGAGATTAAGCATGAAGGATCATGGGGGCGTCCAAACACTATGGACTACCCCTGTAAAGGAATTAAACCCCAGCACGAAGTGTAAGGGTGCACTTATGACTCCTGAGTTCCACGATGATAGAATTATCGAATGGAACTTGCACGCCACCAAGAACTTGGGGGCGTATGACATGATCATAGGTCGAGACATTCTCTCCGATCTAAGAATCAAGTTCGATTTCACTACCATGTCAGTGAAGTGGAATAGCACATCTTTCCCTATGAAAGATAGCAATACCAACGAAGAAAGGAACTTCTTCATCCCTGATCCTACAGCTGTCAGCGACAGTGCAGATCGTCTCAAGAAGATTCTTGATGCGAAATACGAACAAGCTGACTTAAGGCAGATATGCCAGAGTCAAAACCAGGTAAATAAGGAAGAGCAGGAACCGCTTCATGCCTTATGACCAAGTGCTCCGACCAATTCGAAGGTACTTTAGGAAAGCGACAAATGGACGACTACGAAGTAGAACTTCGTCCTGACGCTAAACCCTATCACGCTAGTGTCTAACGGACAAGCATTGTTATATGACGATTCCGGTGTTAAATAACAACCGGATTCTGACCTTTGTTTGGAAGGTTTCTTGTACAAGATCGCTACATACTTAATACAGATTGGTCTTTCCTTATATCATCAAGAATGAGCTGTCAAAATGTGGCCGTCCCAGACTTAACGGACACCTTCAAACCATGGCTCTTGCTACAATTCCACGGAAGAGGTTTCGGCGAAAGTGAGTATTTGGCGAAAAAAGACGTTTCCAGGCCGAATTCGCCTTTAGGTGGGGTATATGTTAACACTGGAATACAGACAATGGAGGGTTCTCATTCAGTCCCACATACACATTTTTGAATCGCATCAACAGTTCAAATTCTACATATCGTGGTACTCAAAAATTCACCGGTGCTAATTGACAGCTTTGGTTGTTATGTGCCTATTTCGCCAATGTCCGTTAGACACTAGGGCTTATCCTACTCCACGTGTCCATACCAACACTCTTAAGACAGAGGTCGAACGTCTCTGCGACGCAGGAGCACTTAAGAAGGTAAACCGTACACAATTCCAGATCCAAGCGACCTGGAAACGCCCTTTTCGGACGCACACTGACTCTCAAATTAGTACTGTTTATTCTATAGTAAACTTGCCGTTTTCTTAGCCACTCGAAAAAGAAAGGCCCACCATGGCGCCCTCTGGTCCCTTTTCGAGACGAACGACGGCTGGGAATAGGACTACGGTCGTATCAGATAGCAGGTCACATACTACTCCCAACCAACAGTCCTTGGCAGCGCCTCCGTTGCCCTCGAAATCATCGAAATCAATAGCTGCGCGGCGCCACACTCATCAAAGTCACCGTGATGGTAAAGGACAGTTTCCTCCTTCCGACGGCTTTGTAGATATTAGTCTCACCAAGAAAACCACTCCACGAAGACTAGCATCATGATCAGTAATTGACATTTCATCCGTCACTGATCCCCATTCTTCTAATCCGTTTTATCCACTAATGGACAACGATGACCTTTGGTTGAAACAATATCAGACGGACTTCAAGATATCAGCTAACGATGACGACTCTCTTAACACGCAAGATACCACTGGAACAAACTCAGTTGATGCCATTCATGCTGATACTCCGCCGAGAATGAATCAGAGCAACCACACAAGGAAGCCCAGACTACGTCCTGCCCACAACAAACAAAGTCGTCGAAAACCCAAGAAAATTGATCCCTCGCCGTTGCCTCTGCCACCAGTTCTTGTCACGACAACGACAACACCGGTAGTATGGGATACATCGCAAGCTATCTCTGCAACAGCAGGAAAGCAACGCGTCTCCCCCAGGCCAACAACGACACGCATTAGCAGTCAACTAACGACATCTGATACCAACTCAGTCAATTTACACGACGCCAACGACTGGCCAATATTGAATACCACGACAACCTCTGCTAAAGGCGCACGACAGCAATTGCCGTCATCTAATGAGGAAAAGCAAACAGCCGATAGTATCACTGGTAATACAGATGAATGGCCGAGTCTCCAACCATCGAGTTCTAACCAGAATGCTATAGCACCAACACTTCGTCTGCTACGACTAGAGACACCACGGGCTCCAATGACCACAACAATGCAGTACGATGGTCTGCTTTTCGTCGTTCGCCAACAGCCCAGTCCAAGTTGGAATACACAATTGATGACATGATGCCAGGTGTTAACGCCGACGAACCAGCGCAATGGTCTGATACATCAACAAGTGAAACACAAGTTCCTACCAGTGTTATCGAAAACACACAACCATCTACGGTCGTAAAAATGAGAAAGAAGAAATTCTTGTTGAAGAAGTCCATCGCCGAAGGCATCAAGGCAGCACAACACAACAACGATAGAATGATTGTTGGCACTGACAAAGCACCCATCGACCTGATCACCCCTCCAGTTTCACCACTAAATCAAATTTATGATAGCGCTGGAACCGATCGATTTACAGAGCCTCACCCCTCGAATGAGTCTATGATGCCTGTTTTATGTTACAATTGCAATGTACCTGTGAGTCCACGGCCACCACTGTCCTCGACTGACTCTAATGATTATGAGTCCCTAGGAATGACCAACGGCAATGATCCAAATCACTACTGTACCAACTGCAAACTGTTCATCCCGCTGCAAGGTCCATTGGCGATGGATACCCGTTCAGTCTCACCACTGACTTTGCTTCTATCATCCAACACTGTTCCACTAATCGAGGTTAATGCCACCTCTTTTCACACTGAGGATGAGATCCAAGACGCCATCAGGCATCTTCAAAGCACGGCTGTAACACACGAGAATACAGCAAATTCCCCAACAACTACAGCTCCAGTCACTATAAAGGACCAAACAACCAATCCTGCCTCTGCTCCACTTGAAGGCCTTCACACCACTCAGCAGCTACAAGCCTTTCAACCACCCGACCAATCAGTTCCAACCAAGACATGCCGTAGTCCTCAGCAGTGTTTCTGTCACCAGCTATCGATCTCTCGACCTCAAGACCCATTGTGTTTCCTCTGCAAGTGGATGGCTGATCCAGCAAAGACACTCACTTATCTGGAAACAGACCTAGCATTCCTTGTTCCCACCGACCCAGCCAATGACACTGCCTCTGTCTGTGTTAGGAACTCCCTTCTCGAGCTACAGAGAACTTACTGTCCATTGCCTAGAGAGATTCACCAGAGAGCAAAGTCCTTGGGTCTACTGGAACCAGCTCCTGATACTGATGTTCCCTCAACCCCAGGCATTATCACCATGACCATTCAAGAGTCCAAGCAAGATGCCGCCACTGCTTCACTTGGTGCTGCCAATCCCATGGCTCTGGATGCAGATGAGAGCGCAAATGAATCCAACACCAATGGCAATCAGGATGGCGACAATGGAGATCCTATGAGGGATGACGACGAGGAAAGCTTTGAGGATGCCAACGATGGTGCAAGGAGCCACAAAACACACTACTTTGGGGTTCGCATTGAGGCAATGAATCCAGCAACCACAGCAATGCCTATACCTCTGGTCATGCAGTTGTTGACACTATTGTGTTCTGATGGAAAGTACACAATCACCTTCAAAGACCATGAAGGGATAGGCGACTTTGAGGGCAATGGCATTGACTTGGATTCCCTAGGAAACATGACCCGCGATCAGCTTGTCAAGTGGCTGAATGCCTCAGTGATGGACTGGGGTCCCATCAATGATTATATTCGTCGATTTGCCTGTTCCTTCTATGTGCACAGCCCTGATTACGACAGCGTCCCTGCACTCAAGAAGATTCAAGGGGTGGTTCCCTTTCTCAAAGAACACAAGCTCTTCCTCCGCCCACACAGCCTAGAGGAATCCCAAACTGCCACAGTATGCTACATTGCCGGGAAGAATCCTAAGAAGACCTTCCGCGATGGCCTGTTACCCAGGGTATCCAGTTGGTTACGTCAGCAGAGGCCTTCCATCACCTGTCCCATTGCCATTGTTCCAACCAAAGTCAAGGTTGATACTGAGAAGATTGACATCCTTGGTATCCAGGTGGGAATCACCGACCGACCAGCCTTTGAGAACCTTATGAAAGCCATTGCCAAGGATACCACTCTGCAACACCCTCAGTTGGATCTACTCAGTCCAAAATTGAACAAGATCAGCCGACAAAGAAAGCACCATGACCTTATGAAGAAGGCAGTTATCCAACATATGGATGTCATCAATGACACCTCTTCAAGATCTGAATCCAACCTTTGAGGATGAAATTCGTCTTTTGCTCTTAGAGAAGATTGTCACTCCCAATGGCAAGCCCCTGCTGTTGGATCTGGAACGCCACAAATCCTATGCCACTGCAGGACAGTACTATGCCATCTGCCAGAAGAGTTCAAGAGACACCGTGGTGGACAAACTCACAGAAATCTTCTCAGATGCCACCATCTTCCCACAAGACTATGCCCTGAAAGATGAGGAACCCTCTGTCATTCACCGACAGCCACGAACTCCAAGGGATGATTCTTGGGATCAGTACTCTTACAGCAGTCGCTCCTTTCAAACACTGTATCAAGATGATGCCTCTATTGCTTCAGTGGAAGCAATCATCACTACTTGGGCAGACAAAGTCAGAACCTGGGGACAGAATCAGGCACCGGTGACCAATGTCTCTGTACCAGCTACAGCCACCACTGTGGCAACCAGTGATGTTACTAGTGATGCACAGTCCAAAGAAATAGCAGACCTTAAAGCAGCAGTGGAACAGCAGACACAGTCCACATTAGCCATGTGCACTACGCTAAAAGCTAGTGTAAAGATCTTTCGAGTGTTTTGAGTTTGAGAGAATGAAAGTTATGAGAGGATTAGAAAGCTATGAAAACTAATCAACGAGAGAGATCCACAACCAAAGGATCGTAGATCTGAACTCCCGCGGGAGACTGTAGAGTGTGATAGAGTAGGTTGCGGTAGCAATCCTACTCACTCCACGATCCAAAAACGGAACACGTGGAAGATTCGTCTAGCATTTATCTAGTAGCGTGGAAGTACTCCACGCTGGCTAAATATCTAGAGCGATGTTTCATCATCAACCTAGTATGACTAGAGCGGTCATTGAGAACCCTGTCTCAATGACTATTCACGAGAGACTCAGTCATGAGTCGAACTCAAACCCTATCTAGGATCGAGTCGCGAATAAGGCTAAGAGCCGTGTATTGCACATGCAGCAACAGACCAAGTCCACATTAGACGCCATGGAGAGAATGGAGAAGAAACACCAAGAACAACTGCAACAGCTGGAGGCAAAGCACCAAAAGGATCAGGAAGCCAGTGAAGCAAGATTTCAGCAGATGATGGCCTTGTTCAGTAATATGCAAAGACCATCTGAAGCCACTGCTACCCCCTCCAACCCTCCTTCCTCCAGACAACCACATCCTCCTGGAGGGGGTGCCAATGATGCTCCTGTACCGGGTATGCTTGCACCCCAGTATGGAAGTTACCAGACTCCTCATTAATCTCCAGTCCATGGACAATATCACCACCAGGGAACCCATGATGTCTACACACACCCAGACTTCCTCCAGGGCTACCATGGCAATCCCTATCAGAAGCGACCACCACCTTCAAATGTACCAGTTGCAACTCAAGATGGTATTCCCGTGACGTCCCCTCTACTCAAGCAAGATGACAAGCGCCCCTCGTAGCGACCCACGCTCTCTTCAGCCAGCACAGTTGTACCCAGCAGCTACCCATCAGCCTCACCATCAGCCACAGCCAGCACCCTACCATGGACTACAGTATCTTGCTGATGCCGGATTCCACCCAGGATTTTCCCAGCCTACCCAACCCCCATCACAACCCCCACCCAACCAGGACCCACAGGGGCATCCTGGTTGGCGGGGTAGTTAAAGATGGGCTGGGCTCCCCCGGCACAAAGTGTTCTATGGGACTCGCTGGGAGGAGGCCAGCCTACTGGGGCAGTTGAATCACCGTTAGTGGACGACTGTGACTCATGGGACAATCTCAAGGCGATGCTGGCTCGAAATGAGCCAGTGGGGGACATTATGCCAGCCAAGAAGCCACCACATGTGGCGAGATTCATCTTCAACAACAAGAGAGGATTCCCACTTTACGATGATAATGGTGGGGAGCTCTTTGAAGATTGCAAAACTTTGGGTATGCTAGGAACCGATTATGCTGGATTTCAGGAGCCCAATCTTGATACTAACCAGCCAGGTGTGAGACGAAAGATTCAGGCAGCTGTGAGGAAGGCCTTTGACCACAGGAAGGTCACCTTTGGCAGCACTCCTCAGATCCACTTAAGAGAATACAAGCCAGGAGGAACTCTATCTCTGGTGATGGGGCGCACCGTTGGAAGAGTGTTGGAGGCTGAGGCAGACTACCTGGGCCGCTGGACAAGGACGGTTCTATCCTGCAAAGATGGAAAGCGGCTATCAGTTTACAATGTGTACACTGTGACCGATGGGAGTGTTGAGAGGGCTGGTGACAGGACCGTTTTGGCCCAACTACATGCCATCTATGTACAGGAATCAAGGCCGTCCCTGGATCCAAGGAGGAACCATTATGATGATCTTTAGGAATGCGTGGCCAACGACATTGCAAATGGTCATGAGATTATTGTGGGTGGGGATTTCAATGACGATTTGGCAAGAGGACGGAAAGGGCTATCTCAACTGGTCTCGGATTGCAAGCTTGTAGATCCAATTTTCTACAATCACGGAATCAGTGACTTTAACACCTATGTCAGAGGCCGTAAGGTAATCGATTACATCCTCGTTTCTGAAAACCTTTTGGATGCTGTGGTTACCATCCGTTCTGTGACCACTTCTATAGTGACCACCGTGCCTGCTTCGTTGACTTCGACTTGAAACAGCTGTTTGGGTCCGATACAGCAGCTTTACCCAAACCCTGTTAACGAAGGGTGCATTCCAAGAAACGTCACCAAGTCACCACCTACATCAAATCCAAGTACAGCTATCTTGACAATCATGGATTCTTTCAACGACTATGGAGATTCAACCAGGCACCTACCCAGCAGGAGGCTGAGACCTTGGATCAACTCCTGCTCTCTGCAAGCCTCCACGCTGCCAAAAAGTGCCCAACCTATTCGCCCATTCCCAGTTCCCCAGCATTGACCCAGTTACGACTGAAGTTCCAAGTCTTGACGATCGATGGCCCTGCATGCACTCAATGCAA